ACACACACACACACACACACACACACACACACACACACACACACACACATACAAAATACACACACACACACACACACACTAAGATACTCACACATACATTAATAGAGGCAGTGAACAAACACCCAAAACAAACACACATACACACAATTGGCGTTTGTTTACCTGGGCCTCATAGTTCGTGAGATCACACACTACCATACTTGTCAAGAACACACACACTTATATAAATAAATCCATCTTGAGTGTGTGTGTGTGTGTGTGGGATGTATGTATGTATGACTGTATGTATGTATGTATGTATTTTGTATATATATGTTGAGGTGAAGGACGAAGATGGAGCCTCTGAGTGTCAGCACTGAGACTAACTTACATCACGGGTTGAGAACCATTAGTCACCTTTCATATATAGAGTCTCTTATGGTTTACGTCACCAGGGAAAATGCCTTCAGACTCTTACCCGTATTACTTATCTACTTAAATCTTACTTATAATCATAGTTCCTTCAATTTATGATTGATGTGTTAATTTATACCAGAAGTAGTATAAGTTCATCTATTTCACGCCTAAATTTAAAACCATTATTGAGTTTGCTCCTGGTTGGATGGGTTAAAGTACCTTTGTTATATCACCTTTGTTTTAGCCTGACTTCCATTTATACACCTCTATCATATCGCCACTCACTCTACGTCTCTCGAGGAGTGCAAATTAAAAGATAACCTGTCTCTGTACTCAAGGTTCCTAATGCGGGATTAGTCTTGTCATTCTCCTCTGGATTCTTTCCAATGATTCTATATCCATTCTGTTGTACGGTGACCAGAACTGAACTGGGTAATCAAGTGAGGTCTAACAAGAGCAAGTAACTAAAAGACTAAATTGACGTATTATCTGTCCAAGTTATCGTGTTACAGCTCGTTCACGCAAAGAACGGATTGACGCAAGGACGGATTGACGCAAGGACGGATTGATGCAAGGACTGATTGACGCAAGGACGGATTGACGCAAGAACGGATTTACAGACAGATAGACAGAGACTGTATTCATTCCTATTACCCTCCCAGTGACCCTACAGATAAGACAGCCAATCAGGACAGAGAGGACACATCACACTACACTGTACCTTCACTACTGTACCTTCACTACACTGTGCCTTCTACACTGTACCTTCACTACACTGTACCTTCACTACACTGTACCTTCACTACACTGTGCCTTCACTACACTGTACCTTCACTACACTGTACCTTCACTACACTGTACCTTCACTACACTGTACCTTCACTACACTGTACCTTCACTACACTGTACCTTCACTACACTGTGCCTTCACTACACTGTACCTTCCCTTACTGTACCTTCACTACACTGTACCTTCACTGTACCTTCACTACACTGTACCTTCACTACACTGTACCTTCCTACACTGTGCCTTCACTACATTTTGCTTTACTACACTGTGCCTTCACTACACTGTGCCTTCACTACACTGTTATGTACCTTTCACTGTACCTTCACTACACTGTACCTTCACTACACTGTACCTTCACTACACTGTACCTTCACTACACTGTACCTTCACTACACTGTACCTTCACTACACTGTGCCTTCACTACGATACCTTCTGCACCTTCACTACACTGTACCTTCACTACACTGTACCTTCACTACACTGTACCTTCCCACTACACTTGCCTTCACTACACCTGTACCTTCACTACACTGTTACCTTCACTACACTGTTACCCTTCACTACACTGTACCTTCACTACACTGTACCTTCACTACACTGTACCTTCACTACCTGTACCTTCACCCTGTACCTTCACTACACTGTACCTTCACTACACTGTGACCTTCACTACACTGTGCCTTCACTACACTGTACCTTCACTACACTGTGCCTTCACTACACTGTACCTTCACTACACTGTACATTCACTACACTGTACCTTCACTACACTGTACCTTCACTACACTGTACCTTCACTACACTGTACCTTCACTACACTGTACCTTCACCACTGTACCTTCACTACACTGTGCCTTCCTTCTGTACCTTCACTACACTGTGCCTTCACTACACTGTACCTTCACTACTGTACATTCACTACACTGCCCCTTCTTTCACTGTACCTTCACTACACTGTACCTTCACTACACTGTGCCTTCACTACACTGTACCTTCACTACACTGTACCTTCACTACACTGTACCTTCACTGCCTGTACCTTCACTACTGTACCTTCACTACACTGTACCTTCACTACACTGTGCCTTCACTACTGTGCTTCACTACACTGTACCTTCACCACTGTACCTTCACTACACTGTACCTTCACTACACTGTACCTTCACTACACTGTACATACTACACTGTACCTTTACTACACTGTACCTTCACTACACTGTACCTTCACTACACTGTACCTTCACTACACTGTCAGGTTCCTATTTCATCTCCAGAGTGGACCACAAGTGCCCGGGGATCGAACCAGCGACACCTTAGACCAAACCTCCATATAACGGATTTATATCTCCTATAATCCGCTAAATAGAGTTTTATATTTACAGAACCCTCGATGCGGACTTTCATCTATATAATCCGTTAGATGAGGATATTCTATCTTACAAACCCTCGATAAAACGGACTTTTCATTATAGTTCATTAGATGGATTTTTATTTAACGGACCTCGATATAGCGGACTTCCCTCTCTACATAGTCCGTTAAATAAAAGTGTCACTGTACTCAAATTGGTTGCCATAGTGGCCATTAAGGAGACATAAAAGGGTCAAAACAGCCAATATGACCAGCCATATTACCTTCATAAGACGCTAACGATTTGCCTCATAATCCTTCAAGTCTTAAAAGTCTTACGTCAATTTTAGTTTACTTGGAGGAATAGCTAGAGGTCAGGTCGTACGTGGAGGTCAGATCGTACGTGGAGGGGTCAGGTCGTACGGGTGGAGGGTCAGGTCATACGTGGGGGGTGGTGTGGGTGGGGGGTGTGGGGTGTGGGTGGGGGTGGGGGTGGGGTGGGTGGTTGGTGTGGGTGGGGGTGGGTGTGGGTGGTGGGGGTGGGTGGGGGTGGTTGTGGGGTGGTTGGTGGAGGGTCAGGTCGTACGCAGGTGGAGGTCAGGTCGTACGCCAGGTGGAGGGTCAGGTCGTACGCCAGGTGGGGTCAGGTCGTACTTCGAGGTGGAGGGTCAGGTCGTACACGGAGGTCAGGTCATACGTTAATTTACCCTCAAGTGCGACTCAGTGAGGAGCATCAGAGTTTCAACCGCCTCAACATCCTTTATGAACATCGTTGAGTTATAACTAAAGGGAACAATTAGATACGTTCTTACGTCACCTTAAGAGTCACAGGTGCAATATGAGCGTCATATCACCATCATGACGTCATAGTTTTAAGCAACAATTAGATTCGCTTAAATCATCTTAGCATATTAGTCTCGGGCCCAATATGACGTCATTATTCACCATGGTTGTTTGTGTGTTTTGATATTTAGTCTGGTGACGTCATTATTCACCATCAGCGTCATGGTTTGACAACAAGCCAATCAGAATCGCTTAAATCATCTTAGCATATTAGTCTCGGGCCCAATATGACGTCATTATTCACCATCGTGACGTCATAGTTTAAGCTAACCAGCCAATCAGAATCGCTTAAATCATCTTAGCATATTAGTCTCGGGCCCAATATGACGTCATTATCCACCATCAAAACGTCATAGTTTAAGCAACCAGTCAATCAGAATCGCTCAAATCATCTCAGTGTACTAGTCAGGAGTTACTGAGAATCTGTGGCTCAGGTGTGTGTGTGTGTGTGTGTGTGTGTGTGTGTGTGTGTGTGTGTGTGTGTGTGTGTGTGTGTGTGTCACGTGGTCTAGTGGGAACCCTCGTAACTGTTTCAATCAAGCATTAATTAGTGGAAGAAACCCGCTAGCACCTACTGAGTCGTTTGTGTTTTTCCTTCGTTTGAGGACTGTGGTGGTTGTGTGGTTATGGTGTTTGTGGTTGTGTGGTGGAAAAAGTTTGATGATGTTTTCAATTTCAATTTTGTTTACAATTATTTTTCCTGCATGTCCCCCAAAACAACAACAACAACAACAACAAAAAAACAATAAAAATACAAATAAATAAATATATAAAATGTGGAAAAAAAAAATCGGAAAAAATAATAACGATTTTTCCATCATTGAAATCGTTATATAAATTTTCCGACCTGACCACGAGAATTAATGCCTCACTACTACTACAACAAGGCTACTACTACTACTACTATCTACAGACAAGGCTGCTACTACAGCAGCAATGAAACACTACTGTACTACTACTGACAATGTTACTACTACTGCAACAATGGCTACTACTACTACTGCAACAATGGCTACTACTACTGCAACAGTGTACTGCTACTAACAATGGCTACTATACTACAACAATGGCTACTACTACTGCAACGACGACTTATACTACTACAACAATGGCTGCTACTACTGCAACAATGGCTACTACTACTGCAACAATGACTACTATACTGTGTTGAACATGTGGTGCAACAACGGCTACAACTACTGCAACAATGGCTGCTACTGCTGGCGATGGCTGCTAGCTATAACAACGACGGTGGAGACGCTTAACGCTGACGGTGAACATAACAACAACACGACGGTGAACGCTTAACAACTTGACGGTGAACAACAACAACAACATGACGGTGAACAACAACAACTAACGACGGTGAACGCTGAACAACAACGACGGTGAACAACAACAACGACCCGGTGAACAACAACGTGTGCGGTGGGAACGCTTAACAACAACGGGCGAACGCCTTAACTGACGAACGCTTAACAACAACAACGACGGTGGAGCAACAACAACGACGGTGGAACGCTAACAACGCGACGGTGGAACGCTTAACAACCGCGAATGATCGGAACAACAACAACAACGGTGAACAACAACAACATGACGGTGAACAACAACAAACTGACGGTGAACGCTCAACAACATGACGGTGAGGACAGCTAACAACGACGGTGAACAACAACAACTTGATGATGACGCTGCTGCTGGGCGGTGACGCTGCTGCTGCGGCCGGTGAACCTTTCTTTCTGCTGCGGTGAACACTGCTGCTGCGAAGCCAGTGAACTGCTGCTGCTGCTGGTGGTGCTGCTGCTGCTGCGGCGGTGATTTCTTTTGCTGCTGCGGTGAGCTGCTGCTGCTGACGACGGTGAACGCTGCTGCTGCGGCGGTGAACGCTGCTGCTGCGGCGAGTGAACACTGCTGCGCGACGGTGAACGCTTACTTCGCGACGGTGAACGCTGCTGCTGACGGTGAACGCTGCTGCTGCGCGGTGAGCTGCTGCTGCTGCGGTGAACGCTGCTGCTGCTGCGGTGAACGCTGCTGCTGCTACGTGAACACTGCTGCTGCAACGAGTGGTGCGGTGGCTGCTGCTGCTGCTGACAGTAACGCTGCTGCTGCTGCACGGTGAACCTGCTGCTGCAAGCGGTGAACACTGCTGCTGCGGCGTGGTGCTGCTGCTGCGGCAGTGAGCTGCTGCTGCTGCTGCAGCGGTGGGCACTGCTGCAACGGTGGCTGCTGCTGCTGCGGCAGTGAAACGCTGCTGCTGCAGCAGTGAAGCTGCTGCTGCTGCAAGCGGTGAGCGCTGCTGCTGCGACGGTGACTGCTGCTGCTGCTGACGGTGAGCTGCTGCTGCTGCAACCAGTGAACCTGCTGCTGCTGACAGTAACGCTGCTGCTGCTGCTGCAACGGTGGCTGCTGCTGCTGCGACGGTGAAACTGCTGCTGCTGCTGCGACGGTGAAACACTGCTGCTGCAATGAACACTGCTGCTGCAACAATGGCTGCTGCTGCTGCAGCAATGGCTGCTACTGCTGCTGCAACAATGTGCTGCTGCTGCGACAGTGGCTGCTACTGCTGCAACCGATGGCTGCTACTATTGCAACAATGGTTTCTACTACTACAACAGTAAACCCATCTACAACGACGGTGAACGCTTCTTCTGACCGGTGAACGGCTGCTGCTTCGGCGATGAACCTTGCTCTAACACGACCGGTGAGACAACAACAACTTCTGGGAGCCGGGTGAACGCTGCTGCTTGATGATTGGAACCAGCTACAACTTTGGCGGTGAACAGCTGCTGCTGCTTGATGATGAACGCAACAACAGTGGTGAACAACAACAACAACAACGCGGTGAGAACGCTTAACAGCAACGATGATTGTGAACCAGCAACAACTTGACGGTGAACAGCAACAACAACGACGGTGGGAACTCAACCTTGACGGTGAACAACAACTTAACTATGACCGGTGAGAACGCTGCTGCTGCGACGGTGAACCTGCTGACGGTGAACAACTAACCTTGACGGTGGAACAACAACAGCGATGGTGCAGACAACAACAACTTGGTGGGAAGAAACAACAACAACAACAACAACGACGGTGAACAACAACAACAACGACGGTGAACAGCAACAACGTGGGTGGAACTTTTAACAACAACATGACGGTGAGAAGCAACAACGACGGTGGTTAACAACAACAACGACGGTGGAACAGCAACAACTTAACGTGACGGTGAACGTTAACTGGACGGTGAACTAACAACAGCTGACGGTGAACGTAACAACGCGAGGTGAACGTTAACAACGAGTTAACAACGGGCGGAACAGCAACAACGACGGTGAACAACAAACAATGATGAAGAACTTTTTTTAACGGCCAGTTGAGGTTACAACAGGACAGTGGGAACAACAACAACGATGATTGAGCTTAACAACGAGACGTTGAACGCTGCTAACGGCGGTGGAACAGCAACAACGACGGTGAACAACAACAACAGCGACGGTGGAACAGCAACAACTTGACGGTGGAACAACAACAACAGCGACGGTGGAACAACAACAACGACCGGTGGAACAGCAACAACATGGGTGGGGAGACAGCAACAACATGACCGGTGGGAGACAACAGCAACAGTGAACAACAACAACAACATGACGGTGGGAACGCTCAACAACATGACCAGTGAAGACAACATGACCGATTTGAACAACAACAACAGTGGGTAACGACGGTGAGTGCCAGTGAGAACGCTGCTGCTGCAGAGCCAGTGTGAGAACACTGCTGATTGATAGCAGCAGAGGAACTGGCCGCTTATAACACTGTGAGAGTAAGCAACCCCGGAAATAAAACGCCTAAGGTCAACAACTGGGCCACACCCATTCGTGCACCTTATTTCCCCTGGGGTCTACTGTGCCACACCTACCCACTATATGGGTTCATTTGTGCACACCCAACCACACTATATGGGTTTACTTGTGCCACACCAACCACACTATAGGTTTACTTATTGCCCCCTCTACCACTTTATAGGTCACCTGCGCCACACCCTTCACCATAACATAGGTCTATTGCGCCACACCCAACCACACTATAGGTCAATTGTTGCCCACACCTACTACGTCATAGGTCACTTGGTGTGTGGTGGTGGTGGTGAGAGGGAAAAGAGGAGAAAGAGGGAGAAAGAAGACAGAGGAAGGGGGGAGGGAGAGAAGACAGAGGAAGGGGGAGGAGAAGACGGAGGAAGGGAGAGGGGAGAGACGGAGGGAAGGGGGAGAGGGAGAAGACGGAGGAAGGGGAGGAGGGAAGACGGAGGAAGGGGGAGAGGGGAGAAGACGGAGGAAGGGGGGAGAGGGAGAAGACGGAGGGAAGGAGGAGACGGAGAGGAAGGGGAGGGAGAAGACGGAGGGGAAGGGGAGAGGGGAGAAGACGGAGGGAAGGGGAGAGGGAGAGACGGAGGGGGGGAAGGGGGAGGGAGAAGACGGAGGAGAGGGGGAGGGAAGACAGAGGGGGGAAGGGGGAGAGGGGGAGAGAGAAGACGGAGAGAGGGAAGGCGGAGGAAGGGGGAGGAGGGAGAAGACGGAGGAAGGGAAGGCGGAGGGAAAGGGAGAGGAGAAAGACGGAGGGAAGGGAGAGAGGGGAAGACGGAGGAAGGGGGGGAGAGGGAGAAGGGAGGAGAAGAAGGGGGAGGGGGGGGAGAAGACGGAGAGGGAGGGAGAGACAGAGGAAGGGGGAGAGGGAGAAGACGGAGGGAAGGGGGAGAGGGAGAGACAGAGGAGGGGAGGGAGAAGACGGAGGAAGGGAGAGGGAGAAGACAGAGGGAGAGGGAGAGAGGGAGAAGACGGAGGAAGGGGGAGGGAGAGAAGACGGAGGGGGGAAGGGGGGAGAGGAGAAGACGGAGGGAAGGGGAGAGGAAGACAGAGGAAGGGGGAGGGGAAGACGGAGGAAGGGGAGAGGGAGACGGAGGAAGAGGGGAGGAGGGAGAAGACGGAGGGAGGGGGAGAGGGAGAGAAGACAGAGGAAGGGGAGAGGAGAGACAGAGAGGGAAGGGGGAGAGGAGAGACGGAGGGGAAGGGGAGAGGGGAGAAGACGGAGGAAGGGGGGGAGAGGGAGAGACAGAGGGAAGGGGAGAGGAGAGAGACAGAGGGAAGGGGAGGAGGAGAGAAGACCTTGGAGGAAGGGGAGAGGAGAAGACGGAGGGGGAAGAGGGAGAGGGAGAAGACGAGGAGGGAGGGGGAGAGGGGGGAGAAGACAGAGGGAAGGGGAGGAGAGGAAGACGGAGGGGGGAAGAGGAGAGGGAGAAGACGAGGAGAGGAGGGAGAAGACAGGGAGGGAGGGGAGGGAGAAGACAGAGGAAGGGGAGAGGAGAGAAGACGGAGGAAGGGGAGAGGTGAGAAGGGGAGGAGGAAGGGGGAGAGGAGAAGACGGGAGGAAGGGGGGGGGGAGAGAGGGGGAAGACGGAGGGAAGGGGAGGGAGAAGACGGAGGGAAGGAGGAGGGGAAGACGGAGGGAAGGGGGGAGAGGGAGAAGACGGAGGGAAGGGGGGAGAGGGAGAAGACGGAGGGAAGGAGGGAGAAGACGGAGAGGGGGAGAGGGGGAAGACAGGAGGAAGGGGAGGGAGAAGACGGAGGAAGGGGAGAGGGAGAAGACGGAGGAAGGGGAGAGAGGGAGAAGACGGAGGGAAGAGGAGAGGGAGAAGACGGAGGAGGGGAGAGGGAGAAGACGGAGGGAAGGGGAGAGGGAAGACGGAGGGAAGGGGAGAGGAGAAGACGGAGGAAGGAGAGGGGAGAGACGGAGGGAAGGGGAGGAAGACGGAGGGAGAGGAGACGGGGAAGAGGGGGAGAGGAAGACGGAGGAAGGAGAGGAGAGACGGAGGAAGGGAGGGGGGAAGACGGAGGAAGGAGAAGACGGAGGAGGAGAGGGGAGAAGACAGAGGAAGAGGAGAGAGGGAGAAGATTGGAGGGAAGGGGAGAGAGGGAGAGAAGACGGAGGAGAGGGAGGGGGAGGAAGGGGGAGAGAAAGACGGAGGGAGGGAAGGGGAGAGGGGGAGACGGAGGGAAGGGGGAGAGGGAGAGCGGAGGAAGGGGGGAGAGGAAGACGGAGGAAGGGGAGGAGGGGGGAGAAGACGGAGGAAGGGGAGAGAGGGGGAGAAGACGGAGGGAAAGGGGAGGGAGAGGAAGATGAGAGGGAAGGGGAGAGGGAGAAGACGGAGGAAGGGGAGAGGGAGAAGACGGAGGAAGGGGAGAGGGAGGAGCGGAGGAAGGGGGAGGGGAGAAGACGGAGGAGGAAGGGGAGGGAGAAAGACGGAGGAGGAAGGGGAGAGGGAAGACGGAGAGGGGGAGAGAGAAGACGGAGGAAGGGGAGAGGAGAGAAGACGGAGGAGGAAGGGAGAGAAGACGGAGGAAGGGAGAGGGAGAAGGAGGAGAGGGAGAAATGAGAAAGATGATGGTGAAGGAAGGATTGAAGAAGAAAAAGAAAGAGAGAAGAACAAAAAAAGAAAATGGTAAAGGAAGAAATCAAGGACGATGATGAAAATGGGGTTAGTAAAAACAGAAGAAGCCAAAAAAACGTAACTAAAGAGAATGAATAAAAGCAAGAAGGGGATACCGCCCTACAACCTTCTTTTCTTTCATTTCCTCATATCTTTTCTCTCCTGCTTCCTCATCATCCCCCTTCTCCTTCTCCCTCTTCTCTTCCTCCTCTTTCACAACTCCATCTTCACCCCCCAAAAAAAAAGATGGCGGACAGCCATGCTTCTGAGACTACAGTATGCACACGTTACACAAGACCTGAACAGACACGTTCAAGACAAAGAGAAACTTAGCTGGGTCAGATAGGTCACAGTGGTCAGTGTCTCTCCATCAGTTAGGTGGAGGAAGGTGGAGGGGGAAAGAGGACTAAAGGGTAGGAGGAGAAATTAATCTATCAAGTCATACAGGTCAATAGCGTACGATTGTCTCAGCTCTCAGGTACACTGATTGACTGGGGGTAGAGGAGAGGGCAAGAGGAATTGAGGTGGAGTGCAGAAAAAGGAAAGGAGGAAGAAGGGAAAGAAGGGATTAATTTAGGCCAGAATGATTTAGTAACAAAACCATTGTATCGTTGTGACTATTATCATAGCATAAACTAAAACCATGACATATATAACAGTAATATGGGTATAATTGGGTCATGTCCTTAACTGGCTCTAACTGTAAAATCATAGCATAACTGTATCGATATAACAGTTAGTAGTCATCATAGCATTAACTGTTGCGACTAACATCTGTTTCTAAGCTAATCAATGAATCCAATAATTAAACTGTCTTGGTAGCTATTATGTTTCAAAGT